GTTGGTGGCTTCCTTTTCCGCTGAGCCGTGCGTTGGGTCGGTTCGCTTCTCGGGCGCCGGGGCCACCCCCACCCCCATGCAGGGACTTGTCAGCACAGCCACCAGGGACGAGTGTGTGTCCGCGGCGGGCGGGAGTGGGGCGGCGGCGCTGGGTGTCCCCCTGCTCCACGACGCAACTTGAGCAGTGTCCCGGCGCTGAGCCCCGGGCGCAGGCGGTCCCCCTTGCCCCGAAGTTCCCGCACCGTTGGGAGACAACTCTTTTGTTCACGGAAGTTTGCGTGCCTCGCGCCCGGGGAGTGGGCACACAGGGTGGGCGCACAGGGAGGCTGGCCCAGCGGAGGGCGCCGGCTTGGTGCGGGGCCCGGGGGCAGGGGCTTGCGGGGCGGGGGCGCCGCGCGCGCCGTGCTCTCTGCACATGGCGAGCCCCACACCGCGCGCCCTGGGTCTGGAGGCTCGTGCAAGCGCTTTTCCGGCCCGGGCTTTCTCAGGTGGGACGGGGGGCTGAGGAGCGGGGACTCATCAAATCCCGGCTGGGCTTTCGGTTTGCGTTGCCCCAAGTATTTGCTCGGGCACCCTCCAGTCTCCTACCTCTGCCCGGGCACTTGGGGGAACAATGCTCCGGACACGGAACAGAGAGCACTGGAGCAGCCGTGGATCGCGCAGGCCAGCTTGCTGCGTCCTCCCCGCCTGCGCTCCTGGAGCCAAGGCTCATTAACGTGTACAGTATTTAGTCCGATGGTGAACAAAGAACAGTTCTTTGCGGCATTTGATGAATGGGATTCTGCCTCCTATAGGCCACACTGCGAGTCTCCTGTACGTTATATTCTCTGGACTCGGCTATGGGGTAGTGGCCCCCAGGTGGGCCCCATTCCGGCCCGCAGCCCAGGGCAGGGCAGCTGTACCGCCACCACCATCGCCACCGCGCCACTCGTCTTGCAGAGCGAGTACAGATGGAGCCAGGCTGCCTGTGGTTCAACAGGAACAAATGTTTGTGGAATTGTTGGATGGTGGCGAAAGGCACTGTTTCCTGTTGACTGCCGCAGGAGTTGGAATGGCATTGTTTATTGGCCTAGGAAACGAGGCGAGCGTCTTGTGCTGCTTACATACAGCGTATTAGCAGGCTTCCAAATGACGTGCTAGCATATGTGTTCCCAGCAGTTCCCGGTGGTTGGAACAGAGATGCCTCCTTGCTCCATATCTTGGACTCTGGCTTGGAAGCCGCCAGCGGGTTGGAGGACCCGGGCACTGGATGGCGTCAGCAGACCCGATGAAGCGCAGCTTGGCTAGGTTTTGGTTTCATTTTAATTTATCCACTTAGCAGTGACTTTTCTCTGTTACAGTTTGATACTGAATTGCGGGTCTGCAGGATTTCCCCCTCCCCCCCCCTTTTTAGCTGTGGACAGCGAAATGAACAGAAATAGTAAAATAGTTACTCCAGCTAGCCGGCCCTTACAGTGGAGAGGGTGTGCTGAACGGGAGTCTGCATAGGGCTGCCCACCTTCTCCCCGGGCGCCACTGGTCCAGTTCCCAGGATACTGTTCCAAGCAGGCTTACTCGTTTCTCCCAAATGCCGCCCTGCTCTTTGTCATGGTTCCTTTCCACAACAAAGTAATTTTAAGAGGAGCTCAGATAATTTTGTGCAAGGACGCCCCTCCCTGAACCCGATTCCCTAGAAAGTTAGATTGGTGCACAGTCAAGTTTGCTGCAAAGAAGTGGACTTGGCGGGCCCACCCCTCTCGATCATGCCCAGCCAGGACAGAGTTGAGCTTTCTACTGCTTTGATAAATAGTGCCCATCACTTTCTCCCTGACCTTTACAATTTAGGAGCGTAGAAATCCATAAAGTTCTCTTGGAAGAGCTTTCAGAGAACTTATGGTCACCATGGTGGCCACATGTAATTGACATTTCACAGGAAGCCAGGATGTTATTTCCTGCACATCTGTTAGTCTTTCTCTTATCTCCTGATGATTCTTTAAGCGCGTACGCACACATACACACGCACGCTCATAAACATTTTGGTAGAAGCCCAGTGGGCTGGCTGTCTAGTGTGAGTGTCTCGAGTGGGTCTTGCTCGCAGGCGTCTGACCTGTAACAGATGCTCAGGGGATGGCCTTCTGCCCTCTTGGCCTTGAAGCTGGAGAAAAAAGGAGCCTTAATGGAAAGCTGGGAGCCAGCAGCAGAGGACGCTGCTCAGAACGTTGGAGTGTCTTTGCTCTGAGAAAGCACACCTCTTTCCCACTGCTTCGTGCTCCAAGCAGAGGAGGCTAGCCACAGACCCTACTCAGAATGGTTGACTCACTTGTCAGGCAGTGCGACTTTCTGGAGTTACATTGCACACAGAGTGGAAAACTTGGTGTTCTCACCTTTGGAGGGGGGAAAAACTGAAATAAGCAAATCCTCTGGTCAGCACAGCCCCGGTGATTACCACTACGCGCACACCTCTGATGTGTAATAAACCCGCAGGCGTATTTTGTTATGTAATATGCTGATAATACAAGTTTTGGTTTTAGATAGAAACCAGATGTAGAGGCACTGGCTTTAATTGATCCAGCAAAGGGGAGATGTTAATAGATGAACTGCCCTGGCAAACCCCTAAGATGATGTGATTACGGGGATTTTTTTGTTTTATTTTAGTGGAGAATCTCAACCCAGGGCCTTTTTTAGAGGTCTCTGCCTTTTGGCTATGTGCTTTGGTACAGCTGTCCTTTTTGTCACAATCTTCCTCTCTTGAAAGAGGCCGGTTCATTGCCAACATGAAGCACATGGCCGGCTCTGGCTGGTCTCCTCACAGCTCAGTGCTGCCGGGCTCCTCGCCTGGCCCCTTGTCCAGCTGCTGTCCAGCCTCCACCTTCCAAAAGGGCTTGGCTGGGGGCTAGGGGTGTTGCCAGGGCCCTTTAGGGCCCTCACTCTACTCCATCCTGAAACGTCCCATAGTCAGGGAGAGTGGTTGTTCCAACTTGCCCAATGACGACTCTGTAAAACCCTGGACTCGTCTTCTTGGTTAATTTCTATGTTTGTTTCCTGCCCAGCTTTATGAGGGTTCTTTCTACATGGCTGAGTCACCTCGACTATGGCCCAAGGTTGGGATGGCACTGTAATAGCTGATCCCGTTAACAGCAGGCTCACTGCAAACGGGATGTGAACTTTGGAAACAGACCCAGAGGCTTAGATATGCTGATGGCCCAGAGACTTGCTCAGAGACTTTTTGTTTTACCACAGTTTACATTAGCATGATTAATGGCTGCGCTGCTAAAAAGTCCATGTTCAAAAGCAGTTTACCCTTCCCGAGGGTTCTTCTTAGGGTGAAGTAATTTTCTTTGCTAGACAACTTTGTTTTAAGGTAACTTCTTTGATGCTTAATCCAGACCTTCTGTGCGCTCAGCTCTGGATCAAGGTTGGGGCTACACAAATTGTGGGCTGTGGTTTTAGTGGTGTCACGGGCTTGTCTTAACCTCCCCAAACTTGGGTGAGAGGTGGAGTCCCACAGTTGTGAGCAGCAGCGGGGGTGCCCTGACCGTTAGGCTGGAGAAAGTCTCCCAGGGGAACTTGGCTTCAGGGCACCTTGGCAGGATTGGGAAGGCTGGAGCCGAGGCTCTAATTCGCCCAGTCCCCCCCCTCCCCCCAGCAGCTACTGGAGATGCTTGAGCTTTTCAGAAGCCAGCGTGGTCCTTGCTGCAGTCTGCCTTTTTTGTTAAATGTGGGTTGATTGAGAGGGGAAATGCTGATGGGTGGGTCTGAAAGCAGCCCTAGGAGCCGGAGAAAATAAAAACACATTTGAAGGACTTGGGAAGATTTTGCATTTCAAAGGGTCTACCTTGTAGAATTTCACATCACGTCAGGGGTTAAGGAGAAGTGTGACAGGACTGGGGCTGCACAGCGGTTCTCCTCTCTCCCGCTGTGGGGGCGGCACAGGAAGCTGCATTCTGCTCTGGGGGGAGTGGGGCACGTCATGAAAGGCTGACGACCATGCCTCCCAAACATGGGAGGGTGAACGGCTTGGCATCCCACCTGTGTGACCCCAGAAGGCAGAGGCAGGCTGTTTGCTGATGTCTTCACGATTTATCCTTTTGCATTACACAAGTCCTCTCCCTCCACCGGTCCCCTGGGCGTGCAGCTGGGATGGTGCGAGCTGTTCGTGCCTTTGCCTTGCCGCCCCGGAAGGAGGATGTCAGCGCCCCCTGGTTGCTGCTGGCTTATCCTGTGCTTTTTGAGTCTCAGAGCAACCCGGCGGTTTTAGTGGTGGAAACTGAGGCAGAGTTACTGGTCCATGCCCATGGCTGGAAGGCAGGGCAAGGGCATCGTCTGCTCCCCCTCAGAGCTGGCGAGCTCTGCCCACCCTGTGCCAGCTGTGCGCTGCGTTCTGGTTTATCTCGAAGGGTAAATTTTGTTTAGTCTTGTTAACACCACAAGAAACTTTGAAACTTTAGCTGCCTCTGCCCTGCCCCTCCCTTTCCCACAGCATCTTTTCTTTTTCTTTACTGAGACTTTCTTTTCCTGAGGGCCAAAGGCAGGACCTGATTTCAGAAGACGGAAGTATTTTACTTCATCTTTAT